AGAATGTGTGCAATATTTGCATCAAAAGAATATCATTCATAGAGACCTCAAACCGGATAATGTGTTGATTTCAATGGACGGACGCATAAAGTTATGTGACTTTGGTTTGGCTAAAGAAGTCCCAAATACTGATTGGTATCGTATGTCTAAAACTAGACTATCGGCAGATGTGGGAACTATTGACTATATGGCACCGGAAGTAAATTCATATCCAATTAATTATAACCATTTGATAGATATCTACAGTCTATCCCTAATTGGGGCTCAAATTTTTGGGTTCAATACAAACGATATAAAGAAAGGAATGTATGTTTTGTTTATGGATATTGATATACATGTTCAGAGGTTAATACCGGACCAAGTTCCTAGTTATTATGTTAAGTTAAGGTCCCTAATTATTGGACTTACAAGTTAGGTATATACTGACCACTGAATATGTATACAGATCTGTAGATATTGATATGTATATCAAATAATTACTCAATTTTTATACTTTACTTACAAATAATAGTCTTTCTAATTTTAGAATCAAAGTTACCAGAACATATAATCAGGATTTAGTTAAATTGATAAATAAAATGAATGAATTATTGGTGTCAATGAGTGTTAATATTGATTCACAAAACGGTTCAACAGATTGGAGGCAAAGACCCGAATGTTCGCATATTTTATCACAATTGCAGACATTTATGACAAATAAACCCATTATTGGAGAAAATGAATTCAAATTATATTTTGATGCTATGATTGACAGAAAAAGTATCATTTTATATAAAATACTAATGAGAAGCAAACCTCATTGTATAATCCGGATGTCTAATGAAAACATAACTAACGGTTAGACTTTTAATAACAAAAGTATATTATATTAAGTTTTAATGTTTTAATTGCCGGATTTTGAAATTTTCAGATAAATTACAAATGAACACAATAAATGAGTCCATGTTTGAAACAAATAAAGAACAAGTTACCGGTGATAAGTTATATATGTCATATGTTAAAATATACTCCGTGCGACATAAACTGACTCAACAAACATATTCATTATTCAAAATGCATATTAAATACGGGTTTAAGGGTAAGAAACAACTAACCAGATTATAGTCAAATAAAGCCACAGATTTAAATAAATTATGAAATATATTTTATTAAACTTAAAAACACATGAAATAATTTATAATAGGTATGATGGGCATGAATGACTTCTTAATGGATATCCGGCACTCATTTGATGTCAATTCGAAACATGTGGTCAAATATTACTCGTCATGGATTGAGCATGGTTATCTATTCATTCAAATGCAATTATGTTCACAAAAGGACCTGAATACATTTTTATTAACAAAACAATCAACTGGACTTATAAAGAGTTATCAAGATCTCAGCCTTCTATGTCTTCTAAAGGATATTAATAATCAACTCGGTTTGAGTTTTGATCTAGTTCATTTCTAACCTATATTAAATTTAACACAACCACTTACCAGTATTTTGGCGAGACTTTTATATAATACAGTATATAAAACAGTATATTATAATATTATACAGCATCATAATAAATACAATTTAATATATTAATGTATGTTATATCAATAAATGTATTTAATATACGACTGAGAGCAGGGTCATTTAACTTTTAGTTTGGTTAACATCACTATTGAAATACAGTTTATTTTAAAAAAATTAAAAAGTATTAATTAATTAGTTTAAAACTTTTAAACATTTATTTTTCAACTAAACTACACAATAGATGGCAACTCATAGACCACACAAGCATTGCTTCATTCATGACATGCACTTAACTCTTATTGACACAAACAGTGCGAACGCAATGCAAATCGTGAACAACACTCGCATACAAACTGTTCACTAGTATTGCATTCACTGCCATAAGAGCGCTATATTTGAGTCACCGTTTGGTTGTTGTGTTTGTGTTGTGTTTGTGTCACACGTTATCACAAACAGTCCAACACTTCCACACCAAGACATGACCACAAATATGGATATATCAGACGAGACAGTGTCCACCACTACCACTGCCACCACCGCCGCCACTGACGAGGAGGTGATGGCCGTCGAGTCCACCGACGCTCCCAAAGGTAAGCCACTATTCATTGGATCCATTGGTGACACTAATAGCTATTATCTCACGCTTACCACCGATGCCGCAGTTGACAAGAGTAAGGCGTTCAGTGAACTGCTCCACCAATTCATCCACAAACCGGAGTCTGTGGTCGACCTCCGGAAAGCCGTCAACGGTATCATCAAATTGCTGGTGAAGTCGAGGGACAACTTCTTCGACATCAAAGACTTTTACCATTACTTCTGTGTCATCAGCGAGACTGCGATTACGAATCAGTCCTTAAGACCATTGGTTCCCAATTTGTGTCTCTTTTATGAGACAATAATTGATGTGTGCTATCAGTGGAAGTGTTTGTCCGATCACTACGACAACGACCACCGCTTCAACAACTCTATTGAATACCTCTTGAGGTCATTGATCACTAAATTAGACGATAATGGCGTCGACCACACGGCGGCCAATAGTGTTGTGAACCAATGCGTGCCACTCATCCTGACCTCAATGGTGGTCATCGTGTCGACCATTCACGGCCTCAAACAAGTGCTGCCCATCGCCAGAGCCATCACCGGACACTTCATACTCAAGAGGTCGCTGAACGGCTTGTGTGTCAACACCAAAGAGTGGACACAACTCATCGTTTGCGTGACCACTGTCTCCAACATCTGGAAGCGTATCAACGATATCGACAAAACCGATGACACAGTTGTCGCCCAATTCGTTGTCTCACTCCTGGACTCTGTCTTAGGAAAGGATCCATTCATGAGTCACGTGTCGGCCAAAGCAATCAAATGTCTGTCCCATGAAAAGGGTCTCGATTTGCATCAACTGTTCATCGAATATCAGGTTGAGATCAGTTACTTTGTACTCAATTTGGTGGACATTAGCGGCACATTTGAGTCGATGGCGGAGATACTGCATAAGACAATGGGCTCCTTCGGGATCCGATGCCTGCCTCGAGAGCTCCTGAAGCATATCATCCCTCACTTTGTGGTCAAATGCAACGACGAGTCGAAGGTATTCC